AGTAATAAGCGGGAAGCACACTAGAGTCATCAGCATACATCACATGCAGAGCAGAAACAATGGCATCCATGTCCATATCAGAAATCTGAATCTGACGACTAAGCAAACTGTGCCAGTCCGGGAGGTCTGGCGACGGGCCGAAGCGCTGACGAAAGAGGTCGTCCAGGCGACGAAAACAGCGGGGAGTGGAGTGACCGATCTTACCGCAAACGAAGCCGCGGCGAGGACCGGTCTGGATCTGGTACTGACAACGCCCGCCGCCAGAGCCACCACGCGGCACACCACCACGCGCCCGGCCACCGCCAGCGCCGGGCCACCCTGGCGAGAGGACACTCGTCTGCCGCGTCTGCGACGGCTGCTGCGGCTGCTGCGAAGGCTGCGACTGCGGCGGCTGCTGCGGCTGCTGCACCTGCAGGGGCGACGACTCAGCTGAACTGGGCAGGGTCCCCTCGTCCACTCCAGCACCAAGCGACCCGACCCCACCACTACCCCCGCCCGCACCCCCGCCGCCTCCTCCGCCGCGCCCAGCCTTGGGGCGGCGGCCCTTCCCCGAACGGACCTGCGCTGCAGTAGCAGTCTCAGCCACTGCGGCAGAGCCGTCGGAGAAGGTACACTGAGCGGGGGCACAACCCTGAAAGATAGGGACCGGCACGACACCGCTCGCCTGGGCGATGGAGCGGTGACGGGTCTCTATCACAGTCAGGGTGTCTACAAAGTCAGTGAGGGTGAGGTCTGCGGGGTGAACGCTAAGAAAGCGGTCGCGGGCGACAGCAAGGCGGTCAGGGAGGCGGGTGGCAAGCAGGTAGAGGGTAGAGGTAATGGGCGGCTGGTGGGCTCTAAGCTGGGCGTCAGTGCAGGCAGCGCGTCAGGTCTCATCTATCGAGCGCAGGTGGGCAGCGAGGTCAGAGACAGTGGGGAAAGATGCAAGGTCAGGAAAGAGCAGCGGGAGGATCAAGCGACCCACCGAGGCAGCCGGAGGGGTGGAATAGCGCTTGATCACAGCATCTAAGTATGCCTGAGCAGTAGTGAGGGACCGAAAGCGAGGACGCTCGGATGGGGGAAGGGCGTTGCTAATGGCAAGCTGGGCAACAGCATCGCGAGAAAGCCAGACAGAGCGCGCACGGGCAGTGGCAGCAGTAGACTCACGCTCAATGGGTGTGGGGTCAGCGGGCAGGATAGCAGAGGGGTCTGGGCAGGGGAGCGTACCGTCAAGGTGTGCGGAAAGCGGTTCACCATCCTGCCGCTGGCCAGTGAGTTGGCGGCGGAGGTCGGCAAGCCACGCCTCGAACTCTAGGGGCTGACCTTCAGCGTCGAAGCGAAGCTCCGCCGCCATCAGGAACAGTGCAGTGCGGTGCAGGGCAGTGCAGTGCGGTGCAGTGCGGTGCAGTGCGGTACAGTGCGGTGCAGTGCGATGCAGTGCGGTGTAGTGCGGTACAGTGCGGTGCAGTGCGGTGCAGTGCGGTGTAGTGCGGTGTAGTGCGGTGCCAGGCAGTACAGTGTGGTGCGGGGCGGCACGGAGCAGGGCGGGGTGGGGTGGGGGAACCGTACCAGTGCGGAGGACGGGGCCGGGGCTGGCCCGACGGGGCCGGGCGGGCGCGACGGGACCGGGCTGGTGCGACAGGGCCGGGACGGGGCGACGGGGCCGAGCGGGCGCGACGGGGCCGGGCTGGGGCGACGGGGCCGGGCGAGTGCGGCAGGGCCGGGCCGGTGCGACGGGGCCGGGCGAGCGGGACGGCGGCCGGGCGGGTGCGACGGAGCCGGGCGGCTGCGACGGGGCCGGGCAGGGTGCGATGGGGCCGGGCAGGTGCGACGGGGCCGGACGGCTGCGACGGGGCCAGGCAAGGGCGACGGGGCCAGGCGGGTGCGACGGGGCCGGGCGGGCGCGACGGGGCCAGGCGGCTGCGACGGGGCCGGGCGGGCGCGACGGGGCCGGGCGGGTGCGACGGCGCCGGGCGGGCGCGACGGGGCCGGGCGGCTGCGACGGCGCCGGGCGGGCGCGACGGGGCCGGGCGGGTGCGACGGGGTCGGGCAGGGTGCGACGGGGCCCAGGAGGGGCGCTACAGGGCCCAGGGAGGGCGCGACGGGGCCCAGGAGGGGCGCTACGGAGCTACGGAGGGGCGCGACGGGGCCTGGGAGGGGCGTGACGGGGCCCAGGAGGGGCGCGACAGAGCCCAGGAGGGGCGCTACGGGGCCTGGGAGGAGCGCGACGGGGCCCAGGAGGGGCGCTAGGGGGCCTGGGAGGAGCGCGACGGGGCCTGGGAGGGGCGCGACGGGGCCTGGGAGGGGCGTTACAAGGCCCAGGAGGGGCGCTACGAAGCCCAGGAGGGGCGCGACGAGGCCCAGGAGGGGCGCTACGAGGCCCAGGAGGGGCGCGACAGGGCGCTACGGGGCCTGGGAGGAGCGCGACGGGGCCCAGGAGGGGCGCTAGGGGGCCTGGGAGGATCGCGACGGGGCCTGGTAGGGGCGCGACGGGGCCTGGGAGGGGCGTTACAGGGCCCAGGAGGGGCGCTACGAAGCCCAGGAGGGGCGCGACGAGGCCCAGGAGGTGCGCTACGGGGCCCAGGAGGGGCGCGACGGGGCGCTACGGGACCTGGGAGGAGCGCGACGGGGCGCAGGAGGGGCGCTAGGGGGCATGAGCGGAAGCGGTAGGTGGGGGGAAAGGATCCTACCTACGCGTGATACCATATCAGAATTGGAATTTTAATGATGATAAAGTGAGAGTACACACAAATATACCTAAGTGTTGTACCCTCTAAGAGGTAACCCTATACAGTCTATACAAACATGACAAATACAGATGTTTGACATCCCCCTCCCCCTGAAAGTTTCGAATCCCCCTTCCCCCCACATTTTCGATTCCCTTCCCCCTTCCCCCCACGTTTTCGATTCCCCCTTCCCCCACAATTCGATTCCTCATTCCCCTCAATTCGATTCCCAACAATTCATTTCTGCCCGGTTTTTCCGGTGCTAATGGTTGTTGACGCACGATTTCATCATGCTCGCTTTTTGCAACTAAGCGGACCTTGTAATACAAGAACAAATTCAGTTTTCAAACGAATAAAACGAGGAGGGTGTTCTGTAAAATTCGTCACCTGAAAAGCGGGTACTCTAAAAAATGCACCATATCATAAGCTCCCCCCCGTATTAACCACCCATGGAGTGACTATTCCGGCGGGTGTTATTGTCAGAAACTAGCTTAGCTAGGAAGCCATAGAATGGCACAAGGTTTAGCTAGGAGCTAGGAGGAGCCATGAGAATGGCGAGAGGTTTTAGGTGCTAGGAAAGTTGAGGAGAGGAAAAGATGTTGGATTAGAAGAGAGGGGAGTACAAGGAGGGGTTTGTACCCCCTACAGAAAGGTTCAGTAACAACCTACCAAGCCTATATAAATTATAACTTATATAATTTTAACACACCCCCTAGGCTTGGTAGTCACACACCCACACACACCCACACCCCCTAACCTAGCACCCCCATTCCAGCCACAGTGACAGCGACTCTAGGTCGGTCGACCCCACGGCGCGTGAGGCGGCGACGTCGACCGCAGGGGCTGCGGCGGCGACGGCGGCAGCGGCGGCAGTGTCGACAGCGGCGGCGGCGGCGGCGTGCGGCTGCGTGGCCCCGACGCAAGCGGCGACAGCGGCGGCGGCGGCGGCTTCGACAACAGCGGCAGCGGCGGCGGCACCCGCACCTCTCGGTGACGTGGCCTGGCCCCGCGACTGTGGGACGGCCGGCGGGAGTCAGCCGTCGTCTGCGGAATGGAAGAGGGCGCAGGGGAAGGAGGGGGGTGGGGGGGGGGGGCGGCGCCACAGGCTGACATGCGGGCGGCCGGTCTAGCGGCGCCACAAGCGTCACGCGGCCGGCTGCAGCCCGACGACGCCGTCATGGAGCGGCGTCGATGCCGCAGCGGGGCGTCGACGCTGCGACGGCAGCACGACGTCGCTGGTACGCCGACTGCGCGCTGTCGCGTAGACGCCGCGGCAGCGTGACGGCGCCGTCACGTCGCGACAGCAACTTGACGCGACGGCGGAGCTGCGGCACGACGGCGCGGCCACAGCAGCTGGACGCGGGCACCATGGACGTCGACAGCGGCGCCGCGGCACGACGACGCGGCCACAGCAGCTTGACGCGGCCGCCATGGCAGCGCGAGATAGAGAGAGAAACGAGCACGCAGCGGAAACGCGAGGAGCAGGCCCACACGGAACGAACTGCTCTGATACCATGTCAGAAACTAGCTTAGCTAGGAAGCCATAGAATGGCACAAGGTTTAGCTAGGAGCTAGGAGGAGCCATGAGAATGGCGAGAGGTTTTAGGTGCTAGGAAAGTTGAGGAGAGGAAAAGATGTTGGATTAGAAGAGAGGGGAGTACAAGGAGGGGTTTGTACCCCCTACAGAAAGGTTCAGTAACAACCTACCAAGCCTATATAAATTATAACTTATATAATTTTAACAGTTATATCCGGGGGATTACGGTAAGTCCTTTGAGATGTTTCCAACACTCGTTTTGTTTTGTTTCATGAGTTCTGTGCATTTTGCACTGAACAAATCGTTGGCTCATGTTTATTTGGAACTCTGGAACACTGGAATGCATCATACAACACAGTTTCAAGCTGTGTTTTGCTTGTGTAATGCCGTTTACCATGTGCTGTCATGTTGCTTGCCGCACAAGTGAGATACGGAATTGATAGCCAAGCATGGCATGGCAAATACAGACCAAGCAGGGAAACATGCAATTCAAGCAGAGGGGTGATGGTTGTCAAAAGACTAGCTTAGCTAGGAAGCCATAGAATGGCACAAGGTTTAGCTAGGAGCTAGGAGGAGCCATGAGAATGGCGAGAGGTTTTAGGTGCTAGGAAAGTTGAGGAGAGGAAAAGAGTGTTGGATTAGGAAGAGAGAGGAGTACAAGGAGGGGTTTGTACCCTCTACAGAAAAGGTTCAGTAACAACCTACCAAGCCTATATAAAATTATAACTTATATAATTTTAACAATGGTTTCTTGTCAAATTCCTAAAAAAAAAACCTAAAACTAGCTGGACGGGTTGAGGGCACAGCACACGCGCGACATTACCATCCAGCCGTCATGCTGCAAAATGGCATACTGCTCGTTTGACTACTTCGGTAGCTCCCAAAACATGTACGTTACCCATGTCATACAAGCAGCAAATATGTACACTGCCCAAGGTAAGCCTTCAAGCCAAAATGCGACCTACTGGAAACAAAAGCGCTGTGCAGACTACATACGCTGCATAGAAGGCTCAGCTCACATGCGCATCCCACCACCACACCACACACTAGCTCAACCCAACACATCCCCACTAAGGGCGCACTGCAAGCCTGTACAAAACTACAGCAAAACAAACCGACAGCAAAACAAACCCACCTAAGTGGCTGGGCTCAGGTACGTGCAGCCTGCCCAGACTAAAGCACATCCCTACCATACTTCATGACCCGTCATGCACGCGCACACCACCTAGAGTGCTGAACAGCACGCATGCATGGTCAAATGCACTTGTAGCCCTTGCAGCTGCGCACGAAGGGGATGCACCACTTGCCCTTGGGACACGCCTTGCGCGGACAGGCTGCCCGCTTGGGCTTGCACGGGGGCTTTTTGGGCTTGCCTGGGGTTGGGGGGATGGGGGAGGATGCGGGAGGGGGAGGAGGGGGTGAGGGAGGAGAGAGGGCAAGAGGGAGAGGAGAGGAGGGGAATAAGGACAGGGTACGCATAGATGCGCGTTGGATGGATGGATGGATGGATGGACTGATGGAGGGAAGGATGATTGAACGCATTTGGGATCATTTATGGAGGGAGGGACGTAGGGAGTGGGCAACTTACTGGGAGAAGGTGGCGGCGGCGGCGTGCAGGAGGAGCAGAAGTCGGGGCAGAGGTGGCAGAAGGCGGACCAAGAGATCTGCTCCACCTCACAGCTGCCACTCACTGCACATGTCACCTCGCCACTGTCCACATCGCTGCACGCACACAGGAGGGAACGTGGGGACGAGGGGTCAAGGGGATGAGAGAATGGAGGAATGGTGTGGATGGTGATGGATGGAGCATACAAGCACATCGTGTTCTGCATCGGAACTCACAGAGATTGCGGCTACGAAGAATACAAACTCCTCGCACTCATGGCCATGTCAGCATCGCATGCAATGCAACAAAAAGCCCCTGCCGCGTGCATGAAAGAGGCATGTGTAAGAGGCTGGCTGTCGTCATGTGTGCACACTACTGCTGTCAGGTGGGGTGGAGAGGGCCTGGCATCCTCATCCTCATCCTCATCATGCATGATGCATGATGCATGATGCATGATGCATGATGCATGATGCATGATGCATGATGCATGATGCATGGTGCATGATGCATGATGCACGCACAGCAGCTGAAGTTCGGTGATGCTGCCCAGCGTTGCCGGCACCGTTCCTGTCAGCTGGTTCAGTCGCAGGTCCCTGCACGCGGTGGAGCACGGGGAAAGCAGCACACCGTGGCATGCTCAGATTAAGGACCACACAGAGAGCAGCATGAACTGTGCGTACAGGCAGATCACATGCGCACTTTGTGCACGAATATGCTTTTGAGTCGACTAAAATGCATGCTTTTGTGCACGAATATGCTTTTGAGTCGACTCAAATGCATGCTGTGTACACGAATATGGCGTGAGAACGGAGGGAAGAACAGAGGGAGGCAGGAGGGACGGACGACTTGGGGAAGTGAAAAAAGGTTATGGATTCGACTGGTAGACAGGTGGAAACAGAAAGGATCACTGGAGAGGACGTGTGAGAGGAAGAACGAATAAAATACACGAAGGCAGGCGGGCTGGGAAGGGTTGAGAAGAGAAAGGGCAGATAGGAACGAAACGGTTGGGCAGGCGGCGAGCAATAATGCCCTTGGAAGGCACGAACAGGTATTCGAGATAGGAGAGCGTCCCTAGAGTGGACGGGATGGTTCCTACGAGGTTGTTGGAGCTCAGATTGCTGCAGGGAGGGAGGTGAGGGGACGGGGAGTGAGGGGACGGGAGGTGAGGGGATTGTGGGATGAAGAGGACGACGGGTGTGTGTGAGGTGAAGAATGCGAGTGGATAGAGTGGCATGAATGATGAGAGTCAAGGGACGACGACGAGGGGACTCGAAAGGGCCGCAGTGGATGCCACAAGGGGGTTATGAGAAGGACGAGGGGAGAGGAGGTGAAGTGGGAAGGAGAGGAAGGTGAGAGAGAGAGAGAGTTAAGGGAGGTGAGGGAGAGAGAGTTAAGGGAGGTGAGGGAGAGAGAGAGTTAAGGGAGGTGAGGGAGAGAGAGTTAAGGGAGGTGTGTGTGTGTGAGAGAGAGAGAGAGAGAGAGAGAGAGAGAGAGAGAGAGAGAGAGAGAGAGAGAGAGAGAGAGAGAGAGAGAGAGAGAGAGAGAGAGAGAGAGACATATGGCTGCCCCTGCGCCGAGGTCCCTACCTTTTTGAAGCTGCTGGCGGACACAGGGGCCAGGAGACTCTTCAATGCAGACCCAAGCTCCTACCAGGCAGCGAAACTGCTCCACCAGTTTCACCAACGCTGGTCAGTGACGCTGCAGCGGGCGCAGGCCCTGGCCTACCTGGGCAAAGTAAATGAAGCCTCCCCCGCCACCCACACCCCAGTGGGCACCCCTGACGCCGATATGGCACCTGGGGACTGCTTTGCCATAGCAGAGCCCCTAGGGGAGATCGAGTAGATCCAAGCCCCTAAAAACATGCACGTACCTTGACTTGCTGCCCCTTGCCTGCCTAGCCTGTACCCAGGTTTTCAAGCAATAAACGGACCGCTTGAGAGAGAGAGAGAGAGAGAGAGAGAGAGAGAGAGAGAGAGAGAGAGAGAGAGAGAGAGAGAGAGAGAGAGAGAGAGAGAGAGAGAGAGAGAGAGCAAGAGAGAGAGAGAGAGAGAGAGAGTTAAGGACCGTTCGAGAGTTAAGGGAGGTGAGGGAGAGAGTAGAGGGTTGTGAGGGAGAGAGAGAGTACAGGGAGGTGAGACTCTCGATCTTGCCGATGCTGGGTGGGATGGAACCCGTTAGCTGATTCTCCTCCAGCCTCCTGCATGCAGTGATGCATGGACCGATGGATGAACGGACATATGGACACATAGACACATGGACACACGGACACATAGACACATGGACACACGGACACATGGACACACGGACACACGGACACATGGATGATCACACGCACAAACAGACATACATTGTGCACACAGAAGCATGTGGACAGAACGGAATGCGTGCGTGCAAAGGAGTGCATAAGGATGCAATGATGCACTGTGACATGGATGTGTGAGCAGCACTGCTGAGGAGAGGATTCCGCCACGCTGCTGAGCAGCACTGCTGAGGACGGTGGATGAACCACGGGTGTGGCAGGGGTGGCAGGGGATGCGTACTTGGGAGTTCTCGAGAATGGTTCCAATATGGGCGGGTGGCGTGGAGGGCTTACAGGGTGTCGATGCTGGTGAGCCACTTGAACACGTCGGGCACTGGCTGGTTCAGCGCATTGTTGTTCAGAATGCTGGGGGTTGCAGAGCAGGGGAGAGGAGAGCGGAGGAGGGGGGAGGAGAAGGGAGGAGAGGGGAGGAGAGGGGAGGAGAGGGGAGGAGAGGGGAAGAGAGGGGAGGACAGGGGAGGAGAGGGGAGGAGAGAAGAGAAGGGATAGGCGGCTTGATCAGGTGGCTGGGTAAAGAAAGAGCCCACTAGCGGTATCTGACAGTCTAAACGAGTAGCATGCGTTGATTGCATGCACCAGCGGCTCCTCAGACAAGTGTGCCAGACTTTCCCTCCTCAATTATCATGGCAGTGCATGGTGGATGGCACCGAATGTGCTACTGCTGCTCACACGCGGCACAGGTCGGTGAGGGTGCTGATGGTGCTGGGAATGGCCCCGTCTATCAGGTTGTGACTCAGATGGCTGCACCGCCCACCCATGCACCATGCACCATGCACCACACATCACGCACCATGCACCAGAGGTTGAAGATTCAAGGCAGGGGGGCATCGCAGGCGTACCAAGGCACATGCACTATCACGATTGAGAAAGCCATGTGACAGAGTAGAGCGGTAGTGCTTGATGGTTTGAGCAGATAACCGAAGAGAAAAGGGGGGTGCGGAGAGCACTCATTGCAGCATGCATGCACCCGTGACAGTGTGCTACATCCACGGCAGCATGCTTACATCCATGACAGCGAAGTGAGCTGGCCAATGGTGCTTGGAAGCGGCCCTGTGAGCTGATTCTCTGGCATGTGCCTGCACATGCACCAGAACACACGTACCACGGCACACGAAAGATCAACGACTGAAAGCCCATCACAAGTGAGGCACATATGACTGTACACGCATGCACATGCACATGCACATGCACACAGGCACACATGCACACAGGCACACATGCACACAGGCACACATGCACACAGGCACACATGCACACAGGCACACATGCACACATACACTCACACATGAGCACTCCCACACTAGCACACACTCGGAAACGCACGCATGCACGCTTGCACGCACACACCAACAAGAACACAGCACACGTGCACATACGCAAACACAAACCCAAACACGCACGCACTCAGAACATAGAGCGCTCACATGACTCGCAGGTTGCTCAGGCCGCCAATAGTGGAGGGCAACGGCCCCGACAGCTGGTTGTTGCCAAGATACCTGCACGCCGGAGGGGGGGCGAGGGGGGAGGGGGGAGGGGGGGAAAGGGGATTGAATGGGAAAGCAATGTGTGTAGAATATTCCTAAACAGGGGTGGCATGGCAAACGGGAGCTCTTAAGAGCAGCAGAATAGAAGGGTGCGAATGAGACAGTGAGGTGCTGAGAGGTGGTGAAGGGTGCTGGGGGGCAATGCACACACGTTGAGAACAACAAGATACGACAAGTGCCTGCATCTCGTGCAGCAGGACTCGCAACTGCCGTCTTCGTAATCATCCCCAGTCTTATCAAGAGACCACATCGGCTGTACAGCGAACCAAGAGGCGACGTGCATTGGGGAGCGCACATGTAGGAAAGGTAGGAGAGCAGGCCAAGGGATGTGGGCAGCGAAGAGGAGAGCTTGTTGTGGCTCAACTCGCTGGGGGAAGCACACACACACGGGAGGGGAGGAGGGGGGAAGGAGGGAACAGCTGAAGTGCCTTTGAATTGCAGAGGATAAAACCAGGGTCTAGGTTTGTTCATTTGTTTTGCAAATGAAAGCCCCCCCCCGATGTGATTGGATTGCGAGAGGCGAAATTCTCAAATCTGTCAACTCTCGCTAATTTCGTCGAACTCTTCGTCACATCTGGCAGCTTGTGGGCCACACAAAATTCGCACGTGCGAATCCTACGGAAACACTCGATCCTGGTTTTTAAGGGGGGTTAGCAGGATGCAAGGAGCCATGGGAAGGATGGGTGCAGTAGGTACAGAGAGCTGCCAAGGAGAAGGAACGTGCTGAATGGAGAGACAGAGCACGGAAGGAACAGAGAGATGCAAAGAGACAAGTGACTGACGTGTTTTGAAAGAGCAGAGGGAAGAGAGCAAAGAGAAGAGAGCAGAGGATGGTGGATGAGCTCACAGGTAGCGGAGGGGATAGAGGTCCTGTATGGAGTCTGGAATGGCTCCTGTGAACTCGTTGTAATGCAGCAAGCTGTTGCGAGGTGAGTGGGACGCGGAGGAGCGGAGAGGCGGACAGGAAAAAGGGTATTGGAACCAAGGCTAAATCAGGTGCAGCCCTACACAGGCATGGAGAGCACAAACATGCAGAGCACACACACAGACACATGGCGTGGTAAACGTGCTGTGGGAAATGCGCCGTGAGACGAGTGGCATGGCGACTGACAGGTATTCTAGCTGCGCCAGCCCACCCAGGGTTGAAGGGAGCTCTCCGCTCAGCTTGTTGCCACTCAAATCGCTGAAAGCCAGCAGAGCCAGAGGAGGGGGGGGGGATGGGGGGATAGAGAGATAGAGAGAGAGAGACCTCTATTGGACAAACGATAGAAAGAGGGCTATAGACGATGACAGGTGGACTAAGCCAGTGCCGGGAACAGCAACGCATACGCAGGTGCACCAACCACGTTGGCTCTGGGCTGCTACTGCGTACCGCACCCATGGGGGCAGCTTACAGGCGGTAGAGGTAGGGCAGGTTGCCTATGGCAGAAGGGAGCGATCCGTCCAGTGCATTGCCTGGCATCCTCCTGCACATCACATTACATGTTTCGCCCACAACGCACGGTTGGAGGCTCGGGGTGGCTTAAGAAGGCTTGTCACAGCGTGGGACGGTCTGTCTAGCATGGTCTTTGCTTATAAACGTGGAGCCAAGCCAAGCTGACTTTTCAGTCGACTCAAAAGTCATCTCTAAACGTGGAGCCAAGCTGAAACTCTTGCCCACACCACTCCACATACAACACAACCCCTTGTGCCAGTCACCTCTCGCTCTTTCAAGCGGTCCTGCTCATTGAGAAAAACCTGTGCACAACTACGAGAAACGCAGAGCAAGTCGGGCAAGGGCAGCTAACAGGGCAAGATTATCACCAAATACCACGCAACCCCTCTTTCCTCTCTCTCTCTCGCTCTCTCTCTCTCTCTCAAGTAGTCCTTTGTTATAATTATAAAGGGTACAGGGGTACAAGCGGGGCGATGCATGTCCAAGGGCTCCCGGGCATCCTACTGCTGCCTGGGCCACCCAGCTAAGGGGTTCGTCTAGGGGGCGGTCATGGCTGAAAGCCTGGCCTGTCACCTGGCCAACTTACGCATGGAGGGTGAAAGAAGGACACAGCAGTCTCCCTCCCTCCCTCCCTCCCTCCCTCCCTCCCTCCCTCCCTCCCTCCCTCCCTCCCTCCCTCCCTCCCTCCCTCTCTCCCTCTCTCCCTCTCTCCCTCTCTCCCTCTCTCCCTCTCTCCCTCTCTCCCTCTCTCTCTCTCTCTCTCTCTCTCTCTCTCTCTCTCTCTCTCTCTCTCTCTCTCTCTCTCTCTCTCTCTCACACACACACACACACACACACACACCTTCTGGCTCCCCTACCCCTGTGAATTCCTCTCCCCCCCTCTCTTCCCCCTCCCAGCCCCTCCCCTTGGTACCGCCACTCACAGTGTCTGCAGCGCTTCCAGGTTGCTGATGTCGCTGGGAAGCAGGCCTGTGAGCTTGTTGCTGCCCAGGTCCCTGCACGCAGCACAGGCGCGCCAGAGAAAGTGATGGGAGAGCAGGAGGAAAGGGTGTGGGCATGGATGCAGTGTGTGCGGGGAGTGGTGGTGCACGGACACCGGAGAGGAGGGGCGCAGGGCGGGCAGAAGGAGCAGGGCGGGCAGAAGGCAGGGTGAGGAGGAGCATTCTTTCCCGCAGATGGAGCAAGCGCCACGTGCAGCTGTGGCAAAAGGAACGCATGCTCTCAGGTGGCTCTGTGCATGGCGCATTGCATTGCAAGCAAGGACAGCACCGCATGCTGAGAGGTGCCAAGGCAAAGGGGGAGAGCCGCCACGGGAGGGTGCGTCAGGTGGTGTAAAGGCGCGCAGGGAACAAGGGATGTGGAGAGTGGAGAGTGGTTACAGAAGTCGCAGGCGAGCCAGATTGGTGATGGCGGCGGGGATGGTGCCCTCCAGCATGTTGTGGAATAGAGACCTGTGGGGGAGGCAGACAGTTGCGCACAAGTCTCGGCAAAAGAACCTGTGGAGCACGAGCGACGAGAAGCCACTTCCGAGCTAGCCATGTCTAATGGCACTACGGCACAAGCATACACGGGTGTGGGGGGGTAGGGGACGGGGGGGACACTTGAAGTGCTTCTGAACAGAAGCACACGTCAGCAGGTTTGTGCCCATGGGCGGCGTGCATAGCGTACATGTACTCGAGGAGAACGAGCTCGCACAGCGCTGGGGGGATGGCGCCAGACAGAGAGTTGTAGTCCATGCGCCTGCCATACCATGCCATGCCATGCCATGCCATGCCCGTGTAAGAACACATGCAATACAGATTAGAAGTCAATGGCGCCTTCGCACGTGCACCATTAAGGCCGAATGAAGCATACTCGGCATAACCAAAAGCAGAGCTTGCCTTGAAATAGCACTTGAACATTCCTCAATACCACTCCCCCCCCCCCCTCCCTCCCCTCTTTCATCAAAGCATCAAGCGTGGCACATACAGGTAGGCGAGTCTGGCAAGGGCGCTCATGGCATCCGGAATGGTTCCACTCAGCTGGCTGTTGCTGATGTCCCTGCACCACCCATGACACACGCAACATGCACCATACACCGTACCATTAGCCATGCCATGCCATGCGTGGTGGCATGCAGCATGGCGATGCATGCGTGGTATTCAGCGCAGAACGCGGCTTGCAGCTACGAGCTCGCGGTGCAGGATGGTAGCAGGCCATGTGGTGCATGTGACGCATGTGGTGCATGTGATGCATGTGATGCATGTGATGCATGTGATGCATGTGGTGCATGTGGTGCATGTGATGCATGTGATGCATGTGACGCATGTGGTGCATGTGGTGCATGTGGTGCATGTGACGCATGCAACACATGTGAGAGAGGCAGTAGTTTGTTTGGCGCCTCACACCGAAGTTAAGCTAGAGGAAGGCGGGCCGGCAAGGGAGGGGGGCGAGCAGGGGTGGAGAGGAGTCAGAGCACTCACAGCAGGCGGAGGCGAGTGAGAGCACCGAGCTCTGGGGGAATTCCGCCAGTTAACGTTCCTCCCATGTACCTGCTCTCGCAAGGCCACGGGGCAGTAGAGAGGGAGAGGGTTTTAGGAGAGTAACAGGGTGTGTGTGTGTGGTGGGGAGGAGGGTTGGGAGGAGAGACGAATTTGCTTGGTTTTGCGCCCACTGGCACGCACGCCCATGGCGCACACCACCCACGCACATGGCGCGCACCACCCACGCACATGGCGCGCACCACCCACGCACATGGCGCGCACCACCCACGCACATGGCGCGCACCACCCACGCCCATGGCGCACACCACCCACGCCCATGGCGCACACCACCCACGCACATGGCGCACACCACCCACGCACATGGCGCACACCACCCACGCACATGGCGCACACCACCCACGCACATGGCGCACACCACCCACGCACATGGCGCACACCACCCACGCACATGGCGCACACCACCCACGCCCATGGCGCACACCACCCACGCACATGGCGCACACCACCCACGCACATGGCGCACACCACCCACGCACATGGCGCACACCACCCACGCCCATGGCGCACACCACCCACGCCCATGGCGCACACCACCCACGCACATGGAGACGACATAACCGTCCTCATCGCATGACACAGCAGGTGCCCTGTCGCAGTCGCCCCCAACCCTCCAGTCCTCATATGTCAGCCCCCACTCCTTCCGTGCCGCGTCCAACGCTGTCCCTGCCACCATGCCACGCCATGCCATGAAAAAATACACGGAAGCACACACATGCACCATGTAGATTCAAATCGCTTATATGCACAGTCGACTTGGGACCTGTACCAACCATAGAGACACAGGGTCAAGCTCTTGAGAGGGATGCAAGGAGCAGCACAGCACAGCACAGCACAGCACAGCACAGCACAGCACAGCACAGCACAGCACAGCACAGCACAGCACAGCACAGCACAGCACAGCACAGCACAGCACAGCACAGCACAGCACAGCACAGCACCGTACCTTGAGACTCCTCAAAAATCAAGACGGAGCCCGCCAGGCGAACGAATCGGTCATGTAACCCAAGCAAGGCGACGACAGCCAGCGTAACCAGCAGCCTCCTCCACTGTTCCATCTCCTTTATCGGCTCCAAGAAGTCACCACGTACTAATGTACAACTACTAGGTGGAGAATAGAGATTGTGAAGAGAGATGAGCGCGCTAGGGCATGCACGATTCGACTCAACTCTCTCTCGAGTATCACAGGCGGCAGTTCTTTACACCGAGCGATGGCCGGGCGATGGGTGGGTGCTCTGCTCTTGCAACGCAGACGTCAGTCACTAGTACAATCGCGGTACGACCCCGGGCTTGCTGCTCTCCTCTATATACGGGCCTTAGTGGTACCAATGCCATCTTGCTGCTTCTTCAAAGATGGCAACCGTGGTACTACCGTTGACTTCTCTCGTCAAACAAGTCAACCCCCACCCACAGCCGCGGCCTTCACTACTGTGATATGAGCGCCGCGCCTGTGGGGGGTTTTGCCACGGCAAGAACAAGAACAACGGCACGCGGTTGCCGCTCCCGAGGGTCGCCGCCTGCGGCAGCGCGGCGACATTTCCTTCCAAGAACGGACGCCCCGTGCCGTGTGTTTCTTCGCCTGCGCGCGGCCTCTGAGCGGCGCCGTACTACTGCCAGCAGTATAGGCCTGCTCGCTCCTGCTGAGCTACGCGCGGCTAAGCCGAGGTGGGCCGAGCTAAGCAGAGCTGAGCGGAGCTACGCCGAGCTAAGGGGAGCTAAGCGGAGCATAGCTGAGGCAGCAAAGCCGTGACTTGGACTGGTGCTTGCTGCGGGTCTGAGTCGGCCTGAGCTGGTGACTGATCACTGTGGGCGAGAGCATGCACTCCACGCGCGCACCTCCACACACAACGAAACAACGATACACAACGGTCCACAACGAATCACGCCCCGCGCGCGCCATGCGTTCATGGGTCGCGGGGCGTCGCGTGACCGTCGTTGACCACTCTCATGCCTCTCGCGCATCTCGCGCCTCTCCGTGGATGTTCACCACGGGCTATCCCAGCCGTCGTCACTGCGAGGCTCTGCTTCACCCCCCTTCTGCCAAGTGGAAGGGTCTAGCGCACGGGGCGTTACATCTACGAATGGGCACTGCTGGCAAAAATGGGCACCGTTGGCGGCCGAGGCAGGCTGAAATGGAGGGGCAACAAGAAGCTGCGGCGATCGGTCTGCGCTTTGAATCCTCGTGCACGTGCCCCCCCTTCCATGGACCCCATGCCCCCCCTTCCATGGACCCCATGCCCCCCCTTCCATGGACCCCATGCCCCCCCTTCCATAGACCCCATGCCCCCCCTTCCATGGACCCCATGCCCCCCCTTCCATGGACCCCATGCCCCCCCTTCCATAGACCCCATGCCCCCCCTTCCATGGACCCCATGCCCCCCCCCCCCCCCCTCATGGATCCCCACATGGCTCCCGCATGGCTCCCCTCCTCCCCCGCCATGCCCCCCGCATGGGCCCCGTCATGGCTGCCATTCCCATGGGGAAAAGGTTGCTTCGCGGCCGGACAGGTCAGGGGGGTCACTCGGGTGTGCCGCTGAAAGGCTGGCAAAACAACAGTTTCTTGGAGTGCGAGAAAAAACGGGAGGGAACCTCGCTGCAAATACGGGTTGGTCGGGTCGGGGTTACTGTGGCAAACGGGCAGATTGGATTGGAGCTGTTGCGCGACGGCGGAGAGCAGGGTGCGACCGCGAAGGGAAGGGGAGGAAGGGGCAAAATTGAACCAAGAAAATGATTAGGTAGGGAGGGGGAAGGAAAGACGAGGAAGGGCGAGGAACCTGGAGGACCGTGCTGCGCTGTAGGAGGGATGCTGCTTCGGTACACCTGGTGAGACCTAATTCACGGGCCATACGTTTTTCATAACTTTTACTAAAACGTTTTTTAATCGAATGGCATAAATATTGTTGATTCGGATATAATATGGTGCATAAATACACTATAGGGTCAACGTGTCTTTAATTAAACTTCCGAGTAATGTGGAGGGCAATGGAAAAACTGTGAACGAGTGAATGACAAGAAAATGGATGACGATACAGTATATAGGAACCCTAGGCTATTCCTAAGAGTAAGATGCGAAGTTTAGGAAAAATCGGCGGGGGGGTTATTCACGAGGAGGGAGAGGATCATCACCAAGGAGACTGATTTGATGCAGTGAGAGTCAACTTATTCATACCGTAAAAGCCCGGATATAAGACCCCCTAATAATAAAAGACCCTAGGTCTTCTATTAGGCGCTTATCTTGTGGTAACCCGGTTTTTTGCCCCTGGATCTAGGACCATTTGGAATATTTCTAAACGGTATGTGATAAGACCCACGGATCTTATATCCGAGCAAATACAGTATGTTTTATATGTGGTAATTATAGGCTAGATGGGTTCGTGCTCTTAGAGAGTACAACACCCAACCCTTGCTTGAACTAACTTTGTTACTTTGACATGGTATTGTTGTGATATGATTCATACTTAGCATTTCTGTAAGTCGATTATCGATAGATAGTGTCGAATCCTACTATAGAAGAGAAGTCCGTAGGATGACGTCAGCAAATAGCGCTCGTCATGAGGATAGTCGTTTCAGTCACGCGAACAATCGCGTCTCTTCAGTGTCATTTAGGGCGCATAGCGCGATAGTATCCAACAGGTACATTAGCGAACAGGTACTTCTGTTAGGTATAAAAGTAGCATGTCATCATTGTTAAATTAACTTGTTCTTCAGTAAATTATGGCCAACACTTACAAGTTCTAAGACCTCCGCTGTCTTTCTAGTCTACCATTCCAGCAAAGATCCTAGGTTAACACTTGAGGTTTTCCAAGTGTTCGTGTTTGCAGGTTCTATACTTAGTCTCCTGCACCACCTGTCAAATTATTACATGGTATGAGAGCTGTCTCGAATTAAGACTACTGTCAACAATGAGTGGAACAACACAAGCACAATCTTCCGGATCTAATTCCGGAACTACTGGAGTACCTGTCTCCACTGGTCTCTCAGCCTCTGGACAGTTTCCATCGGCTTATGCTAACATTGGTATGTAGCAGCAACAGCAAAACCCTCCTTCTGTTAATACTCTAGGGATTTCATCGATTGCACCTGCAGCGCAACAACAGCAAACACAGGCAAGAGCACAACAATTCTCAACTCAGTCAGTATCATCAGCGTTTAGTGGAATGAGCCTTGACGGCTCGAGTTACATGCGTGGAGCTCCAGCTCCAAGTACCGGCTCATTTGCATTCACATTTTTTACGCAGTAGCCGCAGTCTTAGCAGCAACAGCCCTTTTACATCTTTCGGCGTTCACGTGCTCATCAACAACAACAGCAACAACATCAACAACAGCAACAACATCAACAACAGCAACAGCAGCAACATCCACAGCAATTTCAGCAACAGCAACAACCTCAACAACAGGGTATTGTTTTTCAGCCGCCGAATCTACTTAACAGCACACAAATCAAGACCACTATACCTTTTAGCGGAGTTGATTTTTACTCCTGGAGCTTCGAGTTTGAGCTTTTGGCAGCAGTCTACCGAGCTATGGTCGTTCTTCATCGGCGAGTTTACATATCCTGTTACGGGAACACAACTGGAGCATCAGAGTTTCTTGCATGCCTCTCTCGGGGCGTGTATGGTTCTTGTTCGAAACCTATCACCAAAGGAGCAGCTCAGCGTTCGATCTTTCCATTCCAGCTTTACGCCAGCTGAAACTGCATGGAGACACTTAAAAGGGGTATACACTGACGGAAAGAATTGTCCACATGTTTGGCAATTTTTTGAATTTCCACCGTTAAAGGGCATTTGAACATTAAGCCTTAATTGGAGGCATTACCCACTATATGCAGGCCAATCTAGGGAGACATTAAAATGCTACACATTTGATGAAACTACTATCGTTAACAGTAAACAGCAAACATAACCAAACACGGTGCATGTGGACAATTATTTCCAGGCGGAAGCAGCAACTTGAAAAACCCTTAAACTAGTACCTGGTCCACCGCCCTTTAGCCCTAATCACTGCTTTCACCCTCCTGGGCATGCTGTCGATCAAATTGGAGCACACCTCTGATGGGATCTTCTCCCACTCCTCTTGTACACGCTCCCACAGGTCCACCATACCAGTGGGAGGTGTCTCATGCTTTCCCAGCTCCCTTTTAAGATGAGCCCACAGATGCTCAATGGGGTTCAGATCAGGACTTCCTGCCGGCCACTCCAGGACCCCATACTCCTGCTCCTGAAGCCACTGCTGCACCACACGGGACTTATGCTTGGGGTCGTTATCATGCTGGAAGATCACAGCCGAGGGGGTTAGCTTGTAAAAGTCGATGGTTTTTTTCAGCTCGTCTTGCAAAATGCTCAGATACAGCGGCCCGTTCATCCGACCATCGATTTTGCACATGAAACCCGCCCCCTCAAACGTCATACATCCCCAGATCATCAAGCCGCCGCCCCCGTGTTTGACGGTTTGCTTGATATGGTGGTGTTGGAGAGTCGTACCTTCACGAACCCAGGCGTACGCGCGGCCGTCAGAGCCGAACCTACTAATCCTCGTCTCATCCGACCATATGACCCGTCGCCAATCATCTATGGTCCAATCCGCGTGGGCCCGTGCGAACGCCAGCCTATCGCGGATATTTTTCTTGGTGAGTCGCGGCTTCTTAGGCTGCTGAACTGCGATAAGGCCGCTGGATTTGAGCGCATTACGCACCGTCCTAGGATGCACCGTGATGCCGTGCTGGGATTCGACGATTTGGGCCGCATGCCTCGAGGTTTTCGCCTCGCCGCTAGTGATCGCCCGGACGATCCCACGACGAATTCTACTCGACAGTACGCGTGGACGACCAGCAGTGGGCATTGTAGGACGTACGTCCTCGGGACTAGTCTCTGAAATCGCCTTGAGCCCAACATCATGCACTGTACTTTTCCCAACGCCAACCTGTTTCGCGATTTGCCTCGTGCTGAACCCCCTACGCAACAGGGCCACGATCCGGGCGCGACGAGCCTCATCTATCGGTCTCATCTTGGCGTAGTCTACGCCTCGGGTATAAACTTTATTCTGACTACTCGACGATTGCGTTAGGAACTATGGAGAGAATGCTCTAGTCGAAAACGGATCTAGTCCGCTGCTTGGCCAAAACTGTCCGGATGCACTCACGCGACTGAAATCTTGGCCACGCTATTAGTGCGACCCATTCAGGTTGCAAACGTGTTACCCTATTGTAACTGGCACGCGTAACTTATTAGTCAGCAATGAACATTCAACGATACATCGGGTGAAAGCATTCAAATCATGTGTTGAACCTAAAATTGGACTTTATCCGGGCAATACTTTCCGTCGCTGTATATGGCGCAGGATACAATCACAGTGAGTAAGATTCTTTCGCAGCTGACAAATGTGCAGATGATGACAAACGAGAATGTCATGGATTACGTCAATCGTGTATGCACACTACGAGATCAATTGGAGAAGAGTGGTGGATACTTCCCTCGTGAGATGTATCTCACGGTCCTTCTTGCTGGACTTGGTCCCGAGTGGCGACAGACGCGCGCCTTCTTGCGCATGAACCCGAATCTCTCCGAAGTCGAGATTTCTTCGTATCTTCAAGCAGAACAGCAAGATCTTGACCTGCAGTCACAACGTAATCAGAAGAAGGGGGTACACTTAAGTTTTTACACAAACCCAGTGCCGCAACAACGACTTCCCCCAAAATATCCCTTCTGTTATTTCTGCAAGAAACCGGGCCATACTTACCAGATTTGTCGCAGTCGACATCAAAACCGTCGCAATTCTTCACAACTATATCAATATTTGCACCAGTTACCGAAGTCACATCAGCCAACACAGCAGTCGATATCCCAGACACAGCAGTTGCAGAAACCACAACAGAATATACCTCTCTCACACCACCGTCCTCCGGTTTTTCAATCTGCAACATCAGGAAAGGGGGTTTTTGGATGTGTTACGAGAGTTGATATTTCATACACCTTGAAGAAACCACCAGTGCAGAGGGCATTCTCTTACCGCAAGTTTACACTAACCTTGCCTGAGTCATTTCAGGACCCAATACTTGGTATCTCAACAGCTGTTGTGGTTGGCATATGTGCTCCGCTAAAACAAGCTTCATCACCAATCAGCGTCCACTTCGTCGTCCGATACCTGTCACAGTTGCAAACGGACAAACTATCATGGCCAAATCCATCGGAAGTGTAATGCTCGAGTCCGTCGACACGGGATATTCCTTATATGTTACCAACGTCCTTATCGTCGTCGGCCTTGGTTTTAATCTCCTCTCTACATCTCAGCTCCTGGCACACAAGATTCGTACACAAGGCAATTGTGATACAATGGATCAAGAGTTATGGCACAGTCTGACAAATACCTACCTTGGTCGCGCTGCTACTCAACATGGGGTATCTGTTCTTCAGTTCACAGCACAGGGCACTTCTGGCGATTCTGAACGCGTCCTCGCTCTCGGTCCCTGGGATCATCCCGACGACACCGATTATCAACAAGTTGATGTTGATTTTCGTGCAACTACCGTACCCACAACTTCTCAAACCGTAGCTGCCGTACTGACCGCTCTTGATACTTGGGAATTCAACACCGCCGATGAAAGCGCCAACGCTTGGCGAACGTTTTATAACGCTCGTACCGCTTTCCAAGAAACTCCAGCTCCATCTTGGGGAGACATCAGTGGTCTTGCAGCTGATGAAC